GTGCGCAGCAGCCGACTTGGAGTGGTCTTCCAGACAAACAACATCATCACTTTCGACGGAATCAGGTCTAGGTAGCGGTTCTACCTTCTCTTGTGAATCATCACCATTCAGATTGTGCGCTGGATCTGACTCGCCATTTTCGTTATGGGAAAGCCTGAATTCAAGAATTTGCGTAAACCAACTCTTCTTCTTGGCCTTATTCAGACCGCAAATGTTTTTTCGCTGACGACGTTGCCTGCAGAGAAGAGCCTCGATTACTACCTGCAGCAGTCTGGGTTCGGAGAGGAGTAAAATTCCATGAGAAATCTTCAACAGCTATAAAAGCAAACTCAAAGACTAGCGATAGACCTTAAACATGAAATCGAGAGAAAACACCTACCATCTTCTGCGGCCTTGCTCTTTTCATCAAACAAATCCGGGCTTTTACTGGCTCGAGAAGGCCCTGGAGTGTTCAGATTTTCTGGTATGTCGAAGAGGGTTATCTGCATATCGTCGACAGTTTCCCGAGCGGATGGTGTTTTCTGACAGTGCTCCTAAAAAAGATTTCCACTTTGAAAAAGCCGCTGATTTGGCATATTAATAGTAAAATTTCAAGCATGAATAGATAATCACATGTTTCAAACACCTCAAAAAATTCATGGTGAGCCTTATAAAGAGCTTATAAAGAGTTGTCAAAAGAGCGTAGTAGAAATGAAATGTACATCTTCCTTCTCGTGTGTAGCAGCATTGTCCTCTTCCGTCAATTTAACTGGTTCATGACTATGGTTGCTCAATACATCGTTGTCGCTTGTGGTAAGGGCGGCTTGTTTCGGATCGTCCATTTTCGTAATATCAATATCTTCTGAGATATAGTAACTGAGAGACAAAGTCGTTAGCGTTTTAAATTCCTTTAATTAGTCGATTGCGGCCAAATAGAAGTATATTTGATGACATTGAAAACGTATTCAAAATTCGTACAAAAAATTTAGTCAAAGGAATTAAAAAGAAATGGGTTCAAAAAAGTCGCCCTGAACGGTAGTCACAAGGCTACTCTCAGTATATTTTAGAAGCAGAACGGCCTGCATAACGCAGAACCGCAGTAAAAGGGGCATCTAACCAGATTAGATGATTAGATAAAGATTAAAACTAACCTATGGTGATGCACTCCACATCAGTTGTTGAATCTATACTACTATCAGCTAATTGAAGCCCCTGTAGAGGATCCTCAGAATCTATGGAGTTATTTGCCTGAATTATATTTTATTGCTGAGTTGTGCTGGAACAAGGCTAAAACAGATACCGTATTTGTGGAAATTCCTGGCTCTTCGAGTTCCACCTTCAAAATTTCAGGAACAATCACTTCAGATTCAAGGCTAGGCGTTGATGAGATGTCCGGTGTGATTTCTGACTGTAATTTATTTGAGTCGCATTAGAAGAAAATTCAGAGCATAACTCAAGAAAAAAAAAACAAGAAAAATATCGTTCACAAAAGATGAGGGTACCTCTCCAGAAGATTCCTTAGTTGCCACCTCTGGTACAGCTGGATTAAAATTCGAGGATGGATCAACCCCAGAAATCGGTCCGGTAAACAGCTCGGTACCTTTCGGTGGCTTCATGCGAGCGCAAAGCGGTATCAAATCATCTCAAAAGAAATATGTGTGATTCACTCGACTTCTTCATAAAAGACATACCAGGCCCAAACTGCTCTGCCAGTTTGCGAATCTTATCCGTATCTTCGCTTTGCCATTCAACTCGACCCGCATAGACATATTGCAGCCAAGAGGATACAATCTGAAGCGTCTTGAATGAGGCAGAAAATATTGAAACAATGGAGAAAAAATTATAATATTTAATTTTATGAATCCACTCAGTGCTGGGCGTAGTGCTTTCAAAAACTCTAAGAGGAACCGGCATGAACCGAATACAGAAGAATTTTTAACCATAATCTGAGTTCATGATAAGACACTAAC